AGCATGAGGTCCGCACATGTGCAGAAGGGGCTTTCCAGTACTCAGCTTCGCTTCACCGCCATTCATGACAATATTCACCAGACATCCAGTCACAGAACCAAGGACCCCATGATTGTGGAAGCTACTGTCAACGCGTTTTGCCCACTTGTTTAGATGCAGGTTCAGTAAGGGGCGCCAACCTGACTTTATTTTATAGACTTTGTTAATTACATGCAACATTTCAGGCAGTAGGTAGCGCCAAGTACCTGCTTCAGTCAGCAACGTTAAATAAACATGATAACAAGATAATCCATGCTGTTCCAAATATTCAAATATACAGTTAGTAATGAAATCGAGAAATTAATAATAAAGGCTAAGACACAGACATGGAAAAATAGACCAGCCATCCCAAAATCCTCAGTAGCTATAAAGGCCAAGGAGCACCAGTGAGAACCAAACCATAAATAAGGAGGTCATGATCTTACTGTTCAAGAAATACCCCAAAATTCAGTTCATGATTTAGCCCCTTAGGAATTAGGGTGTCCAGCCTATATATCCATTGTTTCTCATGTTGAAGAAGAATTTTGTCAAAGTCACCATGATGTGTGAATAGCTTCAGGGCAAATATCCCTTTCGCCCTGAAGCCAGAGGTGAGTCCCCCATGTTTCTCTTTGAAATGAAGTGCTAAAGGATTCATCTTCTCACCCTCCCTTGGTTCAGCTTTACTTTTAATAGCTCTAAGGTACTCACCAATGCGGACACAGAGAGATCTCTTAGTCTCCCCCATGTAGAGCTTCCTACATGGACATTCAATCATATACAATAGCCTCTCAGTTGAACAATTTATTAAACTCTGTATGTCATAAGATTTCGAGCGGACCTCATTTGTGAACATGCTAGACTTCTCAATAAAGGGGCAAAGCAAACAGTGTCCACATGGAAACATTCCAGTAGTTTTAGGTAGCCACTCCATATTTTCCCTCTTCATAAACTCAGAATGAATAAGAATATCATGACTCATGACAGACATAATACAGCTGAGGGTTAGACGTCATTCTTAAGTCACTTTTAGTCTGGACCCTTGGGTTTTAATTGACAACGCTGTCAAACTTTTAATAGTGATGAGAGCAGGTGCATATTTTTGTACTGAAAAATCTTTTTAATTTTGTTGATTTTTTCATGGTTCTGCAATAAAATTTGTTACTTAGTCAAACTACTTGGATAACAACAGTTACCTTCTTTTTAGGGCCTCTTTTTCTTTATTTTGTGTTATGTCATATCCACCCCCAAGTCTGAAGGTCTGAGCCCTGCTTTGTCCTAGCTCTTTGTGCTGCAACCCTTCTTCCAAATGATTTAGTGAACATTTCCTGGCCTGGATAGGTTCCTATCTAAATTATTTTTCTATTTTGGTCTTATATTTATATTATTTTTTCAGTTTATTTTCATATCTCTTTTTTTCTCCAGGTACATCTGTATTTCTTCTGGTTTGTCGATATAATTTTTCTCGTCATAGGCACTTAGCAGCCAGGTGTATTTTTTAAATATTTACTAATTTCATTATAGTCAGGGCACTGGAGTGATAGCTGCAGGGGGAAAAATGTAAGACCATAGTCTGCCTGCCCTTCAACAACACCCACCACAATGTGAGGGGAAGAACAGGCAGCAGCAAATGGATGGGGGATTCTATAGTGAGGGGGAAGAGCAGGAAGCATAAAAAATGAAATATAGAATTCCATGGCCATAAGCTGTGTGCCTTTCACCAAATATAGATTGCCTCCCACCCCCCAAAAAAAGGACAGGCAAACCTAAAAGGAGAGGTAGAGGTGCAGTTGACAAAGCCTTGTTCTTCCTACTTCTCCCAGGCACAGAGAGGACATTTGTCTGTAAGAGATGCTAATGCACCTTTTTCCTCCTCCTCCTCTTCTGCTAATCCTCTCATAGCCCCATAAACTGGCTATGAGGAGTCGGCAAAATTACAGGCAACTGCTATCCTCGGGACTGCTCCACAGAGCTCAGCAGTGTGGGCCTTTTTTTAAACATATCTGCTGATAGAGCTGAATAACTAAATGTCCCGAACTCATTCCCATGCCGTGCTCATTTGGCCCAAACCATTGGCTTTGCACTACTTCTGTTCCAGCTTGTGTAATCACCTCTCTCCACAATTTCATGACCTGTGCTACATCTAAGTTGCAGATACCCAGCAGCCATATTTTTACCTAGAAGACCATTGTTGCCAACCAGTACTTGGTATGCAATGAGTCAGCAATAGGCAAAAGAAGAATACGAGGTGAAAGAGAGTTGGGGTGCTGGCAGTGCAGAGGAGGAGGAATGGGAAAAGCATGTTAAAAGAGAATTATGGCCAAGCTTTTTTTGGCCATTCCTCTCCTCTCAGTCACAGGAGTTCACTTGCCCTCCTAAAGTCTGCTGTTGGCTAACGTCACAGAGCAAGGATCCTGACAATATTGTCAGGAGACACCCAGATGCCTGACCTGCAGCTGGCTCAGCCTCTAAGTCTGGCCCCTCACAACCCAACTCTTCAGTGAGCCCTGAAGGGGCAGAGCAGAGAGCTGGTAACTGACATCTTGAAGACCAAGAACTGAGCAATCAGTGGCCATGTGATCACTCAGTTCTCAGTCTTAGAGCTGGCAGGGGTACACAACATCAGACCAATGCTGCAGCCATATATGTGGGTATAAATGCTTATTTTTTCCTATCCTAAACTTCTCCTTTAATATTTAAAAGTAATTAAAGTGCAATGAAACACTACCTCCCCTTACTTATCAAATATATGTTTGTATATCATGAATACCTCAATTCTGACTACATAAATATAATGTGAATATAAAATAAAACAATATAAATCCAAAAAATCTGTGTTGCTATTTATTTAGTAAGAGTCCCAAAACCATGTGTCTTCTGTGTAAAGTATAAACTGTGCCACCAATATTTCTCATGGCTGTGATAGTGCCACTGACATCATTATTCACCATCAGTGCTATGCTCCTCCATTCACATTATTATTCACCATCCAAACAAACCAAAAATTGACAGACATTGCAGTAAGGTCTAACATGTGCCTTGCCCTTTAAACGGGGCCAATGTGCTCTACTACACTTGCTCCACCAACAACCGGAATCACACTGTTCTGCACACCCAATATGGTCAATGGCTCCTCCAACAGAATTTCCTCAGAGACATAAAATAGCTCTCATTGGACAGCATATAGTGAAATCATCATAAATGTATTAAAAAGCAAGCTTAAAGCATTCACAAAGTTGTATCCCAATGCGCATAGAACAGTCGTCTCCTTAACAGATTACTTGCCCCCTTAAGGAAATATCATCCATTACATGGACAAAATGTTTCACTTCCAATTCCATTCCTACACATCATATAGCCATGCCCCTCATGTGTTTTGTCACTCCACTGAGAATTTTTCAAATATATTTATTTATTTTGTTTATGTCAGAGCACTGGAGGCATAACTGCAGGGGAAAACCTATGGACATAGGCTGTCTCCCCTTTCATAATGTAGGGGAAGGGCAATCAGCAACAAATGGAGGGGGAAATTCAGTGGCCAGGAGGAGGACCTGCAACAGCAAAATGTAAAGGGTAGAATCTTACAGCTATAGGCTGCTCACCCTTCCTAAAGTCTTTCTTCAAAGGTCAAACATTAGAGAGAGGCTGCCTTGAAGTTGATATCAGTTGTCATATGGAGTTAGTGTTCCGTTTGTGGCGAGTTTCAGAGGAATGGGACCATTTGTAGACTGTTGTATCTGATGCAAAGAACTGCTACAGAAAGTCTACTAGAAAGGTTTTGATGTGTTCAACCAAGAAAACATTTACTGCATCTCCTCACATATTTTTAACAAAACGTTCCTAGCTTGTCTGTCTGGTCCCACAGGTTTTTTTGTTTTGTTTTTTTGCAAATGTTATTACTTATATATTTACATTTTTTATACTTTTCATTTATCTTTTTATTTGTTTTCCCTTGTGAGGTCATACCTGTCCTGATCAAGCAAACACAGGCAGGGTTGGCAATGCAAACTGGGTAATACCAGAAAGGTCTCAACAGCACCTTGTCCCTATGCAAAATCAGAAAGATAAAGCCACCAGCGCAGACACTCACCCTGTAGAGGTAATGGGTACAAAGAGTACCACCTTGTAAGTGAAATTTGAGAAAAGGACATTTCTAATGGGTTCAAAAGGTACAAAGACTTTAATCTCTACAAAGCTCTTAATCAAGTAGTGAGAGGTCAACAGTCCCTGAAACAAGTCAGAAAGGGAGGAAATCTGACCTTTGATAGTGCTGAAAGAAACACTGGTCCAGATTCAGCCATTTCACACGCACCATCGCTAATTTTTATGTTTAATAAACATTATTTACAAATGTACGTTTGTTAGTAATTTTAATATTTAATTGCTTATATTTTTTTTCTTGTATGCCCATCCCTGCCCTTATCAAGCAAACATGGACATGGATGGCAAGGCTGTAACTAAGATGCTTACAAGCAATCACATCCAAGGACTACTAGGTGTCAAGAATGTACCACTAGCTCAGTGTTTCTCAACTCCAGTCCTCATGGACCCCAACAGGTCATGTTTTCAGGATTTCCCTCAGATGAAACAGCTGTGGTAATTACTAAGGCAGTGAAACTGATCAAATCACCTGTGCAAAATAATGGAAATCCTGAAAACATGACCTGTTGGGGGTCCATGAGGACTGGAGTTGAGAAACACTGCACTAGCTGGAGGTAGCTTAATATGCCTTTGACGTACTAGCCCGTCCTGTTGCAGTTTCATCTTCTGTCTTTCATGAATCCATGCTGTCTATTGCTTTAATATTTTATTTTCTAGCAAAAACTCCTCCAAGTGATTTTTTATTAACCACCTTCCACCCGCCCTATAGTACAATGACGGGCGCAAGGTGGTTCTCTCGTTCTGATAGGACGTCATATGACGTCCTACCATTCTCACTGGTCATGCGCGGCTCAGGGAGCGCGCAGCGCGGCGATCGCCAGTGCACTGTGTCCCTCGGACACAGCGGATCACGGAAAGAGCCGAAGATGTCGGCTTGGTCATGTGATCAGCTATGTCCCATCACAGCTGATCACATTTAAACATGGAAATGTCGGTTATCGGCATTTCTCTCCTCTCGCGAGCTGTCATGCTGAGAGGAGAGCCGGTAATCGGCTTTGCGCGGAGGGGACATGTACACTGATCATCAGGGCACTGATGATCAGTGTACCCTGATGATCAGTGTGGCCCCAGAAGTGCCACCTGTCAGTGCTCATCAATGCCACGTGCCAGTGCCCATCAGTGCCAAGTGCCAGTGCCCATCAGTGCCACATCAATGCCACATATCAGTGCATACCAGTGCACATCAATGCCACATATCAGTGCCCATCTGAGCTGCCTTTCAATGTCACCCATCAGTGCCAGTCATGCCAGCTATCAATGTCAATCAGTGCCACCTATCAGTGCTGGCAATCAGTGCCACCTATCAGTGCCAGTCAGTGTTGCCTATGATTGCGCATCAGTGCCGCCTATCAGTGCCAGTCAGTGCCGCCTATCAGTGCCAGTCAGTGCCGCCTAACAGTGCCAGTCAGTGCTGCCTATCAGTGCCATATATCAGTGTCATGTATCAGTGCTGCCTTTCAGTGCCCATCAGTGATGCCTGTTCAATGCCCATCAGTGCAGCCTACCAGTGCCATCTCATCAGTGCCCATCAGTGCCACCTATCAGTGTCCATCAGTGCAGCCTATCAGTGCCCATCACTGAAGCCTCATTAGCGCACGTCAGTGAAGGAGAAAAATTACTTATTTACAAAATTCTATAACAAAAACTAAGAAAAAACTTTTTTTTCAAATTTTTCAGTGGTTTTTGGTTTGTTTAAGAAAAAATAAAAATCTCAGAGGTGATTAAATACCACCAAAAGAAAGCTCTATCTGTCTCAAAAAAGTGATAAAAATTTCATATGGGTACAGTGTTGCATGACCGCGCAATTGTCATTCAAATGCGACATCGCTGAAAGCTGGAAATTGGCCTGGGCAGGAAGGGGGTATAATTGCCCTGTAGGCTAGTGGTTAAACTCTCCATTATCTTCCCAACTACATAAGTAAACTAACCAGTCTATAGCTACTATAGCTACTTGGTAAAGACATTGAGCCCTTTTTACAGTAAGTATAGCCATATGACAATCCAGTGGTACCATGCCAGTCATTAAAGAGTCTCTAAAAATTAGAAACAATGGCTTAGATATAACATTTGGAGCTATGCCAATATTATCATCATTAGGGACTTGAGCCCCTAATGTTACTTTGTATACACAGAATGTAAGAAGGAAATTCAATAAATTAGCCTTCTCTATGTCCTCAGTAACCTACTCAACATTATCTAGTAAAAGGTCTACATGCTCAGACCTGAACTTTTTACTGAAAAAGAACAGACAAGGGCGCACTCTCATGGTGCATTACCGTGGTAAAACACGTATTTATTGAAAAAAGAAGATATATACTCACAAACCAGTGTGATTAAAAGCAGTATATGTGGTCCACAAACACAGTCACAGTACATCTGTGTCTAATGATGCGTATGTCTGACGCGTTTCGGGATCTAAACCCCCCTTCCTCAGAACTCTAAAGGGTTTAAAACAAGCTCTGTCTGCAGTAGCAGCCATGAACTTATACAGTATTTGATCTCATTCTGGTCTCTGCTCTAATTTAAAAGTGACCCTGGATGCTATATAGCTGCCATTCACTTTTACAGTAAAAGCAGTGCGGTGTACTCCCACCATGGTTCCTAGGCTCTCACGCTCTTCTTGGGAGACCAGGACCACAACCAGTGACTTCAGGACCCCATATTGTTCTCCAATCTGCTCTGCTTTTTATGAATCCAGAATCACTGAGCTCTGAGCATTTCCCATTTCAAAAAAATTTCCGGCTGCTGTTGCTGAGGAAGCAGCTAGTCAAGTTTACCTAAAACAAAAAAATAAGAAATCAGCAATAGGTACATTACCTATCTTTAGTGAAATGTGCTCCTCGTGCTGCTGTGTCCTTCTTAAGCCAACAAGCATAGAATAAATCATGATCTATGAATGAAGAATGGGTGGATGATTGATAGGTCCACCCCTCTATTATTGGAATGGAGCAGCTAAGTGTAAAGGTTGGACATGGTCAGGCATTCTTGCTGAGTTCCTTTTACAGCTCCTTAGTTCTATTAACCCCGACTGCAGCAGAGGCTTGGGGGGGGGTGGGGGGCATTGGTGCAGAAAGGTTTTGCCTAAAAGGAAGACATAGCAGCACAAGGGAAATATCTCACTGATTTTGTATTTTTTTTGTTTTAGGTAAACTTACATTTTAAATTTAAAAAAAAGTTTGAAAAATAAAGTTATAGTAAAATGTAATAAAAAAAAAAAACCCAGATGCAAATGCGAGCACAGGGTGTATATAAACTGTGATTGCACCACACATGTGAGGTATCGTCTCAAACTTTATATAGTTTACAATCTGTAAAGGCATTTAAAGCCTGTTGATTATTTTTTGTAGCATACTTTTTCGCAATTCTTCAGCGAATTGTGAAAACCCCTGTCACTTCTTTTTTTTTCCCTTCTATGCCCATCTGGGAAAAAATCTGACAGGGGTTCTAACTGCTCAACACTATATCTCCTCAATGAGGTAATAAACTGCAATAAAAACCTGACAGAAAGTGTAAGTTTTTTCTCACTCTAACCAAAAAAAACCCATAAAGATTAAGAACAAATAGCCGAAATACGGGCTACTTAGCAAATACAAAAAGTTATTTTAGATGTTTACATTTACTGCTGCCAGCTTTTGAGTCCACATCTAGCAGTCATGAGAGTGCTGCATTGGTGCCTGTATGAGAGTCTGATGCATCTTCTTCTATTTTGTCCTGCTTTATCTACTTGTCTTCCACCCAGAATACGTTTACTGCAGGAAGGCAGCATGGACAGGCTGGATCATGTACAGGTATGTCTTCCAGCCAACCAGGGTTGTGCCCCTGGTGCACTTCTGGTACCCAGCCACTGTGAGAGGCCCAGGGATCATATGATCGCTATGTGATCACATGATCACAATGTCAGCAAAGTTGGTATGAATGAATGTCATTCATAACAGCTGTGCTTCCTCTACAGTGATGCTGTGATTGGACCACAGCTGTCACATGGTACCTGGGCCAGTCACAGCACCCTGTACCATTTGATTACCTGTAGCCAATCACAGATCACTAGTAGTCACAGCTGTTATGAATGTAACTCATTCATGACAGTTCAAAACATTGCTGTTACAGTGAGCATCATTGTAACAGCAATCAAAGTGTAAAAAATAAAATCCCTGATTACTTCCCTTTTCCCCCAGAGTAGCACAGTGGTGACACTGAACTACTCTGATGAAAGTATGTAAAAAATGTTAAAAAAAGAAAAAAATGTTTAAAAAAAAAGATTATTTTTTTAACATACTGTCACCAGTCAGTGTCCCTGATCACCCCCACACCAATCATATGATGACACTGTACTGCACTGGTGACATTATGAAAAAAAAAAATTGTGATTTTTTTTTTTTTTTTATCTGATTTCTTACTTTTCCAAAAAATTGTGACAAAAAAGAACTCACCATGCCTCTTGCTAAATACTTCAGACTGTCTACTTTCCGTAAAGGGGTCATTTGTGGGGAATTTTTTACTGTCCTGGCATTTTAAGGACTTCAAGACGTGAGACTGGCCATCAGTACACCAGAATTATAAGTTATTGTTGGTTTATATAATAAAAAATTAAAAGCCCAGTGGGGACCAAATACCACCAAAAGAAATCTCTATTTGTGTACAGCGTTGCATGACCATGCAATTGTCAGTTAAAGTAGCACAATGCCAAATAGCAAAAAATGGCCTGGTCATGAAGAGGAAAAAACCTTCCAGAGCTCAAGTAGTTATAGAAGCACTCATTGCACATACTCGGGGCTGCTGTTAGAAACCACGGGGCCCCATACAGCCAACTTCACAGCCACCCCCCCCCCCCAAAAAAAAACTGTTTACTATGCTTTAGTTATGAATGAACACAGTGAGTAATCAGTACTGATCACGCACAGGGGCGGACTGACAACTGATGGGGCCACGGGCAATAGGGGATCATGGGGCCCCTATGTCATTGCCCACACTCAAAAATAGCCTATAAAAGGTACCAGGGGCATTTCATGGGGCCCACTACTGACCCCGGGCCCTCGGGCAGTGCCCAAGTGCTCGAATGGTCAGTCCGCCCCTGATCATGCATTGTATTCATGCAGGAAAGGAAGGTACTGGTAAATGTGACACATTTAAGGACCCTCCCCATTCTCCATCCTGAAAGATCCTATTGTGTGCTTGTAGCTGCCAGTGAGAAGCAGAGGAGGGAAGGTGGCAGCACTGCAGGAGTGGGGGCACACAGGGGGGCCCAAGCAGTAAGGGGAAACGTATGGTGCACAGGAAGGGTGATGGGTGTGACAGGGGGACAATTACTGGTACTCATCCTCTGTATGGCTCTCTCTGCAGCAGCTAAAAGCCAGTGGGAGGTTGAGGAGAAGAAGCCAGCTTTCAGCTGCTGCAGAGAGAGCCATATAGGGGATTTATTCCAGTGCACCTCTGCTGTGCCGATCACCCTTCCTTCTCACATCTGATTCACCCAGCTGCCTGGGCCCCCCTGCTGACCTGGGCCCCGTACAAGAGAGCTGCTGTTACCCCCTTAACAATGGCCCCGCACATACCGATTGTCAAATCTTCTGCAGATAGGGAGGTCTGAAAACCAGTAAGAAACATTTCAGTGGTTCATTCTGTCTGTCTATGGCCAGCAGTAGTATGGCACTTGGTGTGCAGAAATTCTAGATTTCAGTGTGCTACTGTACTGTGACCTATGTATTACATATCTGGCATTAAATGTACCACTCAAGCACTTCTTGGGCACTGAAACAGATTATTGAACTCTGACAGGTTGAAAACCCCTGTCACGCTACAGTTGTCTGACTGATTCATGTTCTCTTGCTTGTGGATATAATTACCCGGTAAGTCAAAACCTAACATTAGATTTGCAAAAATGTTGCTTGGCTGGGTGCTTTGTTATCTTGCCAAGTTTATATGCTTATAAATCCTTCATCCTTCGTAAAAATATCATTGTTGAATAAGCACTCCTGTACATCTGCCAGGGAGAACATGAATGGAAATCATGTCTAATGCTTTAGTATCAGCAATGAATTACCTTTCTGCTTAGCCATCACATTATGTTAATTTGCAGATGCATATCACCACGCTTAAGTTGTTAAAAATTATTTTGCTTTAAAGTGAAATTATCAACCAGTTTAATATATTTTTTAAACGCATAAGTCCTACCTATGAGCAGGTACTACAAAGAGCCTGCTATTGTTTCATTAGTTAGAAAGCCCTCTTGTTTGCACCTGCCTGATTTAGTTTTACTTTGGCTATAAGAGTGTCTTTAATTGGCCACTCATATGTTCT